AGGTTAAAGTTAGTAACCTCTTTGTTTTGTTTAAGGATTAGGATTCCAGTGCAGTTATGTTAGTGAAGAGTAGTAATTTATGAGCTCTTTTGTGTTAACTTAATGGGAAATCTAATATTATTATCAATCTGGAATTCGAACATGTGCAGAAATTTATACAAACTTCTGAAGACTCACCTAAAGATGTTCCCATTGTTTAAACAATGGAATTATGAGAGCAGTAGTATTTTTCTGTGATCAGTCTCTTACTGTTACAATGTGAGATTAAATTCTTATTATCTAGGATATGTGACTTTATGGGACAGAAATTTACTATTGTTTTGAGCTTTGATTACCAGGATAATTTCTGAGTTGTCATGAAGCCAATAGTAGGATGGCATGTGCTGCAGGCTGAGAACTGATAAAGGTGGATGTCTGTGCTGGGAAGAGTTTTGAGGACGACCTTGGACACAGCCTAGGTAGGATCTTCCTGACTCTATTTCCCAATTGTACTATTTCCTTTCTGAAAAGGAAAATTCCCCACCTAATTAATCCTAAGCCCTGCTTTTAACATCCAGTGACTACATGATTGGCTATCAGATATGACTCATGCCTGGAATCAAATAGAGCTAAGGAAGTTCTTTCCTTCTGATATGATATATGACCTTGTCCCTCTGGAACATCTCTGAGTTATCAAATACGATGCAAGTATGAATAGCTTACAATTTTAACTTACATTCATGGCCAAGTAATAATAATATAGGAATATCATCCTCCTAAGGAGGAAATGTTTAGACAAAATAATAAGACAAAGATGTAATGTGATAGATGTCTAATTAAATAGGATAGCAAATTTTGAGAAAAACAACAGGATTAGGCTGATTCCTCTAAGAATTATATACAGATGTATATGATTGGCTTCCAAAATGTATCTATCATGGAAATCCAAGCTTTAAGCATGTTTAGGTAATAAGATCTCAAATTTAGATTTTTCACAAAAATTGTATAGGATAGTGGTAAAAGTAAGTGAAATTATTTCTCCTTTATTAAAGTATCTGGTAATTTTAAAAGGCAGGAGAGCTCATTTTATGGTTGGATCTTCACATTTTAAACAATTCTTATACCAGGTACAGGATGTAGTTAAGAACAGAAGCAGCAGATGATATCAAAAATGAAGAACCAAATTTAAGTGACTATACTAATTCATACTAAGTCAAAATTATCTGGGAACTTCTAAATCTAAACCAGAGAAACAGAACTCCCTTTTTGAACTGCCTATGAATTAAACCTATTGTACATGAGCAAGGAATTTAATGTTAATTAACATTGGTAATAATGATTGTATTGCTTTGTATGATTCATGTTTAAGTTTTCTTGGTTATCTTGGTTACATGTAAATCTCTCTTCTCAAAACTAGTCTATTGTGAACCCTCTAAGTAATTTAATCTGTACCTGACTTAATGTAATTATGTAATTTTGTGAATTATGAGAAAACTTTGTTGTATTGTTTGAACCTAGTCCTGTGTGGCTGGGAAACTGAACCATCTCTATGTGCCCTTAACTAAAGACTTATGTTATGCTATTTTCTCTCAATTATCAACTCATACATCTTCTATGAGCCTCTATCAGGTCTATGTGACTACTCCCATAGCTGCCAACTTCTGGATATGGACTCTGGGATCATCTGAAGATGCCTGCTCCAAGTGGACATCTCTTTCCATCCCCTGAGGAAGAGGAAGGTTTTTCCCACACCTTTCTTGGTCTACAGGTGAAGCCTTTGGCTTACCTTTGACCAAAAGGAGGAAATGATAATCATTTAAGATCAATTGAGCCCCAATAAGGGCCAAAAACCTGAGTTAATCTTTTTCTCTCTGAGTGAACTAAAAACATCCCTTCCTGTGTCAGCAAATTCCAGGAACAGATAGAACTGATCAACTAGGCCCAGGATGTCTGGGACTAGATACTCTCTTGAATAATGGGACTTTTCTTATCTTGAGTTTCTATTGACACTTTGACATTCTTCTGTTTTATTGTATTTACAACCTTATTCAATTAAGAAAATTCCTTTCCCATGCTATATGTTAAAACAAACATATGGAGGCTGTATTTTTTGTAACACAGACATCCTGAGTCTGATCACTCTAAACTGTATAAAACCTCTCTCATTTTGCTTAATCTCCGAGTCAGAATCACATTCTGGCTTCCATGTTGACATGATTGGCTAACTAAAAAGGAATAAACTATATAATCATGTATCACCTAACTTGTTTGCCTTCTTTAACCAAACTTTCAGGTTAACAATGTAAAAGCTTTTTGTATATGTGTATATGATCAAAGTTTTCTAATTTGTATTTTATGGTCATCTCTATCCCTTATCTGATTAAGAAATTTTCCCCTAGCCATAATTATTTGGTTTTTTTTGTTATTTTGGGTTTTTTTAGGCAATTGGGGTTAAGTGACTTGCCCAGGGTCACACAGCTAGTAAGTGTCAAGTGTTAGATCTGAGGCCGGATTTGAACTCAGGTCCTCCTGACTTCAGGGCCGGTGCTCTATCCACTGCACCACCTAGCTGCCCCCCCCCCAGCCATAATTATGAAAGGCACCCCCTTTCATTCTCCTCTAATTTGGATAGGATGACGTTTTGTAGTCAGGTCTATATTTATTTGAAGTTTATTGTTGTGTATGGTGTAAGATGTTGGTCTAAACCTAATTGCTGATAACCAACCACTACTTCTAGGGGTAGCCAGGTGGTGCGATAGTGGATAGAGTGCTGGATCTAGAATCAGGAACACTCATGTACCTGAGTTCAAATCTGGCCTCAGATGCTTACTAGGTGTGTGATCCTGGGCAAATCACTTAGCCCTGCTTACCTCAGTTTCTCCATCTGTAAAATGAGCTGGAGAATGAAATGACAAACCACTCCAGTATCTATGCCAAGAAACCCCCCCAAAAGGGGTCATGAAGAGTCAGACATGACTGAAAAACAACTGAAAAAACCCACTACTTCTGAGGATCAATGATGAAACATGTTATCCAGTGACTGACAGAAAAATTTTGAACTCTTTTCAAACATGGCCAATGTGAGAATTTGTTTTGACTAAGCCTATTTGTTACTAATGTGTGTGTGTTTTTTTTTAATTTTGAGGAGATTGGGGAGAATTTTTAACTAAACGAGAAAGAAAAGGGGTCATTGTAGTATTTAAAGGGAAAAAGCACAGAAGAGAATAGGACATTCTGAGGGAGATGTAGACAAGCAGGTTGGCTTTGAAACTGTGTTGAATTTATTATATTATTTTTTAAAATGTAAGCTGTTACATAATAGGGATTCACGATTTTATGGTCAACCCTCTCTTTCTATTCTGTGTTTATGCAAATGCTTATGTTTGTCTATTATCGCCAAATTCAGATTAAGAAGTAAATAAATAAACCCAATTACTGCCAAACTGCTTTCCAGTTTCCCCAGCAATTCTTCTCAAGTAAAGAGTAATTTGTGCTCTTGGGTTTTATCAAACCAAGTGCTACCGTTTTCAATGGCTTCTGGCTCTTGCTTATTCAGTCTGTTCCACTGATCTATTTTTTCTATTTTTGAACTAGTACTTCCTTTATTCCTACTTTTAAAAATTTTCATTTGAAATTCTAGCCTCTTATTCCTCCAAATTAATGTTATTATCATGCCTCATTCTTTAAAGCATTCCCTCAGCGACTTTATTGGCAGAGTGCCAAATCTGTAAATTACTTCAGGTAATTTCATCATTTTTCTTATATTAATTAGCATGGCCCAATCATGAACACTATCCCCTCAATTATTTGTCTTTATTTCTGTAAAGAATGTTTTATAGTTTTACACAGGAGGTCTCAAAAGTCTTCGTGCAGTTTAATAGCTTAAAACTATTAAGCTCTAACAGCTTAAAACAGCACGAAGACTTTTGAGACCCCCCTGTAGAAATCTTGCAAGTGTCTTGATAGGTTAACTCCCAGATACCTAATGCATTTTGTGGTTATTTTGAGTGGAATTTCTCATTTCTTTCTGGTCTTTGTTAGTACTATATAGAAATGCTATTCATTTTTTGACTTTATTTTGTATCCTACTCCTTTGCTGAAGCTGTTATTCATTGTGATTAATTTCTTTGATGATTCCCTGGGGTTTTCTAAGTACCCTACCGCCATCTGTACCCCCCTTTTATAAACAAAGTGACAATAATAGCTAGCATTTAAATAGCATTTTAAGGTTTGGTAAGCACTTTACAAATATCTCATTTTATCCATACAACTACCCTGGGAATAAGACGTTTATTATTCTTATTTTACAGATGAGGAAACTGGACCAGTCAGGTAAAATGACTTGCCCAGCATTACACACTCAGTGTCTAAGGCAGAATTTGAACTCAGATCTTTTACACCCCAAGTCCAACACTCTATCCACTGTTGCACCTAGCTACCTTTTAAAGTGGAGATAAGAGCACTTTGCAACCTTATTGAGTGTGATCAATCTTACTCATTCTTTTATATTGCTTTACTTAACTGTTTTCAAGGATTATATCACATTCTGGGGTATTCAGTTGAAAATATGCTGAAGTATTGCATTAGGTGTCAAAATAAAATTTACCATTGAAAAATTTTTGAGAGAAAGAAAAACATATGATGGGTGCCAACTGAGAGTGGAATGTGTGGGCTCAAAGATAAAATTTGCTTTGACTGAGCTGGCTGCTACCTTCAGGAGAAATGGACACATCCATTGAGTGTGTTGACCAGAGGTGGGGAACCTGTGGCCTTGAGGCCACATGTGGCCCTCTAGGTCCTCAAGTACTGGTTGACTGAACCTAAACTTCACAGAACAAATCCTTTTATTAAGAGGTGGAATTTGAATCCAGGACTGTGGCCTCAAGGCCACAGGTTCCCCACCCCCGGTGTAGATAGAGGCATAGGGCACCAGAGCCCTGAAGCTCCTTCTCTTTTCACTGATGACTCTGGGAGCAGGTTTGTCTGAGAGCAGCAAGAACTGTGCCATAGGCAGACCTTACCCGGTTCATCTTCAAAAGGACACAAGGTTGCCCAGTGGAATAGCCAAACGTTGGATCTTGGAGGCCCGAACAGTTCCCCAGAAATGAGCGCTTGAACTGACAAGCTTTCTTCTCTTTGTCCTCTGCTCCCTCCTGGATGAAATACTTCCCGGGAGTGCAGTTCATATTCTTTTCATCTTGAATGCTGTCATTGTATGCTGTAGTCAGAGGGAGGATAAATTGAGGCTGGCGCCATGGGCAGGCCTCCCTCCACGCTCCTTTCAAGCAGCCTTCCATCTTGGGTTCTGGGAGCAGCAGTCATGCATTCAGCGCTCTCCACCAACTCCCTCTCCTCACTCCCACCCCTGCCCCCAATCAGTCAATCAAGCAACAGGTAGTGCCACGTGGTACAAAGCCCTAGCTCTGAAATGACAAGTCTTGGGATCCAGTCTCATCTGTGACACTGTCGGGATTTGACTAACTGACTTCTGCATTCCCTTCCAGCTCAAGATGTAGGAGCCTATGGCCCTGGTAGCTATTCTTTGAGGCTTCCCCCAGGAGCACAGGGTTGGCTAATCCTGCCTCCAGAGGGCGGATCACACAGCAGATGTTCAATCAATGGGTTTTGAAAACAGAAATTAATCATGGCTGGGCAGGTGAGGAGGCGTTATGGTAATACAGGCATTCGGTATATAATGGTATATAATATATTATAATAAATAGAATCCTGGTGTTCAAAGGGAACTCTGAGTTAACTATTCCATCCCCACTCATAACTGATCTGTACGAGTTTGTTTGGAGTGGATCTGTAATTTTATTGCTGGGAGGAGCTCCCAGGTGAAGAAACTACACTAATGCAGATTGACATCTTCTTTTCAATTCATAGTCAGAGAGAGCCGCCTGGTGCAGTGAGAGGTTAAGCAAATTATTTGCCCAGGGTGATGTAGGTAGGATATATCAGAGGTGACATTGAATTCAGGTCTTAATTTTGAGGTTGGCTAACTACTACTACTACTACTACTACTACTAATAAAAATGACAATAACTTGTGATTTCATTTCCAATGAGGAAAGTCCCTTTAACAGGGCAGGCTGACATCATCTCTGTAAGTTATCATCTTAGAAGTATGCCCGGGGTATTGAGAATTAAAGAGACTAGCCCAGGATCTCACAGCCAGTATGTGTCTGAGATGGGACTTGAATCCTGGTCTTCCCTATGCCAAGGCTGCTTTCTCTCCCCTATCACTTGCTACCTCTCACATGTACTTAGCATTTTTACAATTCACCCTGGTGCTTTTATCTCCACTTTTTCTTTTTTTCCTTTTTACCTTTTTTTTTTTTTGGTGAGGCAGTTGGGGTTAAGTGACTTGCCCAGGGTCACACAGCTAGTGAGTGTTATGTGTCTGAGGCTGGATTTGAACTGAGGTCCTCCTGACTCCAAGGCCAGAGCTCTATCCACTGCGCCACCTAGCTGCCCCTCATCTCCACTTTTTCATTTCATCTTCATAATATCCTTGCAAGGCAGCTAGTGCTACTGAGACCCTCCCTTCCCCATTTTAAAGATAAGAAAATTGAGACTTTTAAGGTTTCATTTCCCCTTCCCTTGGTCTGGAGGGTGGCTAGGTCTGCAGCATCTAGAATGGCAGCCTGAAAATGGAGCCCATTACCGGGTTTCCTGGGATGTTAGATGCCCCTCAGCCGGATCTCTGAACATCAGTAACCTCCCTGGCTCCTTTTTCTGTATTCCTGTTCCAGATGTTGGGTATCACTCAGACCCACTCACCACCCTCATCTTAAGGCCAGTCCCTTCGTGCTTCTTTCTGGTCAGGCTGCATGCTTATAGTAGGTGAGAACTGAAGCTAACAACGGGCTGCCCTGACTCCAGGGCTAGACCATTTGTTTGTTGGATTTGATATTAACAGGGCCCCCTTAGAAAATGGAAATCAGCTTCTGTTTATAGCTGCACAATTTTTTTTTTAAACAAAGCTACATTCAGTTTAAGGGTGTTTTTTCCACTGGTCTTTTTTAGAAAAACAACTATGTTCACATAAATAATTTTTGAAATAGAAGCTGAAGTCACATACTTATTGTTCCTCTTGAGGTATTTCCACTAAAAATAATATGACATGGGCCTGACCCTTATTGCAAAACCTCACAGCCTCATGGGAATGAAACTGATCCTCTGCTTACAAGATATTTCTGTTTCTGAGACCTGTTCCTTTTGGCCATCCCCTCTCCTCAACAGTTGTCCTGTTGCTTACAGTTGTTCACAGAAATTTATAAAATATTGGAGCTGCAAAGAACTTTAGAGACCATCTGAGCTCTATAGCTGTGAGGAAGCTCAAAGACCATCTAGCCCAGCCCTCTCATTTTACAGAGGAGGAAATTGAGGCCCAGGGAGGTTAGTAACTTAGGAACACAGGATCATGAATTTCGAGCTAGAAGAGCTTCAGAAACCATCTAGTCTAACCTTGTCTTTTTACTGAGGCAGAGAGAAGTGCCTCATCTGTGGTTATAGAGTATTAGAGGCAGAATTTGAACCCATATCTTTTTGACTTGAAATCCAGTACTTGAATCATTATATGGGACACACATCTCAAGCTGGAAGGGACATCAGACGCCATCTAGTCCACCCTTGTCATCTTTTATCTATCTATCTATCTATCTATCTATCTATCTATCTAATTTATTTTTTTGGCTAGGCAATGAGGTTAAGTGAATTGCCCAGGGTCACACAGCTAGTAAGTGTCAAGTGTTTGGTCTGAGGCCGGATTTGAACTCAGGTCCTCCTGACTCCAGGGCCGGTGCTCTATCCACTGCACCACCTAGCTGCCCCCACCCTTGTCACCTTACCATTGAGGAAAGGAGTGGAGTGATTTGTACAAATAATAAATATAAGTCGTGGGATTTGAACCCAAGCCCTCTGACTATGTACATAGCCAGTATATTTCTACTGTTCTATGTTGCTTCTACTCTGAGCTCCTCATTGCATAAACAGAAAATCAAGCTCAGAAAGAGGTTCAGGCTCAGAAACTTGCCCAAGGGCATATTATGACCTTGGTCATACAAAGGTCATGAAAAGCTGGGTCTCAAACCTGGCTCAGCCCAGAAAAGGCTCAGCCTTTTCTACCACAGTGCCTCTCTCCAGCCATGTTAAGACAGTTAAACTCATTTGACTGGCTTTCCCCCTCTGACTTCTGCTCTCAGGCTCATCATCTGATTGGCCAGTGGCTGAAATTGAGTAACAAGGATGAAAACTGTGCAGTGGCCACTGTAACAACCCAACAATCTTCTGTCACTGGGACGTCCCCGAGGTCCCTCCTAGCCCTGACTGTTTGTGTTCTAACTGCCTCTCCAGCTCGGAAGATTTATAGTTCTCTGAACTCTTTGGTAGGAAGGAAGAAAACAGGTATTTATTAAGCACCTACTGTGTGCCAGGTACTGTGCTAAGCACTTGACAAATATCTCATTTGATCCTCATGACTCTGGGAGGTGAATGCTCTTACTATCCCTATTTTACAGATGAGGAAACTGAGACCAAGTTTAAGTAACTCACCCAGGGTCACACAGCTAGCAGTGTCTGAGGCAGGATTTGAACTCAGATCTTCCTGACTGCAGGCCTAGTGATCTATCCAATGAGCCACCCATCTCCCTCTATTACGAAAATTGATGGCTCAGTAAATACAACCACTGCATTATTTGCTTAACTTAACTACTGATAGTTGATCCTCCAGAGAGCCCAGAGAGATGGAGCCAATGATTCTAACCCTAATTTCAGCTGGCACATTTAGGGGCAAAATGCTTAAATCAGGGTCTCCAGCCCTTCTGTACCACTGGTCCCAGATATGCCAAGAAGGACAGATACTAGCTATCTCCATGGAAAGTCTCTAGCCCTGAGAAATGATCTCTCTTCCTTACAAAATGGGTCAGTGTGGAAAAAAAAAACACTGCTCAAGAGAGTCCTGGATTCAAATTCTACCTCTGATATTTACTAGCTGTATGATCATGAGTATCTCACTATATCTCCCAGGCCCCAGTTTCTTTATCTTAAAAATGGGGATAATGATGCCTATAGTGCCACCCAGAAACAAAGGCCCATCTTTTCATCCCACTTTCCTACTGGGTGTTAATATGTCCGTGAAACATGAAACAGTGGTCCCCAAGAAATTAAAAATAAGTATAACATAGGGGCAGCTAGATAGTGCAGTAGATAGAGTACCAGCCCTGGACTCAGGAGGGCCTGAGTTCAAATCTGACCTCAGACACAAAACACTCGCTAGCTGTGTGACCTTGGGCAAGTCACTAAACCCCACTGCTTAGCCAAAAAAAAAAAAAATAGAAAGAAAAGTATCACATAGAAGGTGAAGGAGAGGCCTATGGGTGTAGAGTTGGCAGGGACCTCAGAGACCAGCTAGTCCGATCCTTCTCATTTTCCAGTTAAGAAAACTGAGGACTCATCCAAGGTCACACACAGGGTTGGGTTATAGACTTAGAGCTAGAAGGATATTAGAGGCCATCTAATCCAATCTCCTCATTTTCCAGATAAAGAAACTGAGGCCTAGGGAGGTGACTTTCTCAAGGTCAGTCAGAATCATGGGAGCATGAATCCAGAGCTGGAAGGGCTCTTAGAGACCATTTAGGCCAACCTCTTCATTTTCCACATAAGGAAATTGGGACCCAGAAAAGGGAAGGGACTTGCTCAAGGTCTTACAGGCAGTAAGCATTAGAAGTGGGATTTGAACCTAGGTCCTCTGTTTCTACTGCCAGTGTTTTTCTCACTGCACTAATTTGGGGGGAAAAACAGGAGTAAAGGATATTGTCAAGGAAATGTATGCACAAAAATGAAGATGTTCTGGTCACATGGTGGGAGATGACCTGTTGATAGCTCAGATGCCCCACTGGTATCCTCGGGATGTCAGGAGACATAGAGGAAGGCCTCCAACACGTTGGGTGACCCAATGAGGTGGTTGAACTTCTGGGAGGGCATGGATTGGGTCAGGTAGGGTTGGGTCATAATGTAAAGTATTGCAGGGAATATCAGCAGAGAGATGAGAGCATAGGCCCCATCAGGGCATTAGAATACTTGAGAGTATTACCCATTTCATTGGATTTCTGTGAAACGCAAATGAAAGCCAAATGGGCATGATTATTAGTCCTGCCCCTTCCAACTAGCCTTGGCCCAAGCTGGAAGGGACCTCAGAGGGTAACCCTCTACCTGCCGGGGCACTTTTCCCATCTTCCCCATCTGGATGATGAACTTACCTTGAAGGAAGTGATGCAAGCTGTCCACGTAAGAAACCCATGTGCTACGTTCCGATACGTTGAAGTTGAAGGCAAAGGTGGATATGTAGGGCCTGATCATAACTCCTGGCAAGGGAAAGGGACTTTGCTTAGATTAACCCAGGCTCAGTCCCAAGCCCTTTAAAGATGAATCTTTATTCCCATGAAACCATTTCCTCCCCCACCCCAGGCAATCAAAATGAAATGGACCACCATTTGCCAAGTTCCATTTTACATTCCCTCTTAATAATTGCATCCTTAAGTCATTGCCGGGAAGAGCTGGTAGGGAGCAGAGGCTGGCCAAGTGGTGCAGACAGCCTTGAGAGAGTGGTACAGGATGGTCTTGGTACTGGTCTTGGGGACTCACTTACCAGGGGGACTCACTCGATCCCTGTAGATCGGGATGTAAGGGCTGATGGTCAGCAACATGGTATACATACACAGAGTGAACATCCCAGCCAGGAAGGCATAGAAGAGAAGGTAGAAGAGTAAAATCAGACCTATAGTAGGAGCCAAAAGAAGAACGGGTCAGGGTCTCCCCCAAATCTCCACCTCGTAGGCCCAGCAGCTCTGAAATAAGAAGAGCCCACACTCCCTTGTCTACTTAAGACCGTGGAACGATGGGATCCATGGCCCCACTTCCCCACCCCTCTGCCCCATCAGTGGCTGCTAAATCCTCATTCTGGCAGATCTCATTCATTTGGAATCTGTGACCATTTGGGAACAGGGCCCTACCTGAAGGTCACCTTTGTACTTTTCCTCTGTAATCAGTCAATGACTCAACCAAAATGCATATTCTGTGCCAGGCACTGTGTTAAGTGTTAAGGATACAAATGAAGCAGTCCCTGATTTCAAGGGGAAAACAGGATGAGATCAAGTAGAGATATTCTCAAGAAAGGGGAGAAGGACAAGATGTGGGATTTCACTTGACTAGGGAGCCCCAGGTGGGGAGTTCCTTCTCCCCAGCAAATGGACACTCATCTCCATGGAGAATTGCCTATAGCACTAAGGGTGAAAGTGACTTCCCCAGTTGAAAGTGACAGCTGCTTGTCAGAGGCAGGGTGAAATCAGGGTGGGCTTCCTGGGGTAGGGATTGCTCTGGAGGTTAGGAGGGAGGGCATTCCAAGCATTCAGGACATCCTGGCAGAGGCATGAGGAAGGGAGAGGGACTGTCACGTACAGGGGATGGCAAGGGAGCCAACATGGCTGGACTGTAGTCTGCATGAAGGGGAATGATGGGCAGCAAAGCTGGAAAGGTAGGACCATAGATTTCAAGATCTAGAGCTCCAAGAAGCGTTAGATATCATTGAGCCCAGCTCCCTCATTTTACAGATAAGATAACTGAGAGCCAGGATGGTTAAGTGACTTGCTCTGGGTCATACAGCTAGCAAGTATCTGAGGTGGGATTTGAATCCAGGTCTTCCTGACTCACATCCAGTGCTCTGCCCACTGTGCCAGGCTGCCTCCACTCAGCTGGTAAGAGCTTTAAATGTGTTTAAGCTTGGAGGGAAACAGGAAGACAACAAAAGTTTTTGAGTAGGGGAGTGCCATGGACAGACTGGGCTTTAGGAATATCAGTTGAGCACCTGTGTATGGGATGGACTGGAGAGGAGAGAAGAAGGTGGCTTCACAGGATTAGAGCTAGGACACTATTGCAAGAGTCCAGGCAAGAGGTGCTGAGGGCTTGAACTCAGGCGGTGGCTCTGGGAGTGAAGGGAAAGGCAGATGCTACAGACGTGGTTGAGGCCAAATCAACAAGACCTAGCAAGAGATTGAACACATGGGCCAAGGGCCTGGGAAGAGTGAGGGATGAATCCAACGTTTCAGGCTCGAGAGCCTGGGAAGATGGCGGCATCCTCGAAAAAAAGGTGAGGGGAAGCTTACGAAAGGGGAGGGTTTAGGGGAAAAGATAATGAATTCTGGTTTGGACATGTTGAATTGGAGATGTCTACAAGCCATCCAGTTGGAACTGTCTAATAGGCAGCTGGTGTGGGGGGGGTTTGGCGCTCAGGAGACAGACTAGGCTGGATAAATTATGCTGGGAATCATTTGCATAGAGATGATAATTGAGCCCACGGGAGCTGATGAAGTCACCAAGATAGATAGAGGGAGAAGGAAAAGGGGCCGAGGACAGAAATAAAAGAACCGCTTGGGGTGGGATTTCATTCAGGTGAATCCCTGATGGAAAGAGAGAGCCATCTGGCTCTTGGACATGGCTGACTTGCCCCGTGATGGGGTCTGCCCCTAGGGTAGAGTGGGGGACGCTAAACGCTGAGGGACTCCAAAGCAAAAGTCTGTGCTCAGGGGTGGGGGAAATGATGGGCAGCCCTGGAGAACTAGGGAGAACAGAATTGTCTATCCTGACACATAGTAGGCCCTCAAGAAATGCTTGTTGCTCGATTGTCCTCTGATCCCAAGCCCTCCAGAGGCTCTCTCCAGCTGCGTGGAGGACAGAGATTTCGGAGCCTGGGACAAGGTTGGGTTCTTTGTCTCCCACTTCCCCTCCCTAAGGCCATCTTCCCAATCCTTTGAAAACCAGAGCCAAGCCTCAGTGCAGGAATAAGCTACGGGAGGCTGGTTTTCCCTGCTCCTTCACCCTCCAGCTGGAAGGCGTCTCAGAGGCCATCTAACCCAACCCCCTCATTTTACAGAGAAGGAAGCTGAGGCCCAGGGAGAAGTCAGTCAGTACATCAGTAGCAAAGTAACTTGTTCCAGGTCACATAGGTATTAAGTGTCAGAGGTGGTATTTGACCCAGGTCCTCTGACTCCCAAGTCAGCGCTGTTTCTACTATACCATGGCACCCTCCCCCTGGCTGTTCAGGGCTGCCCAATGACAATGGCTTATCTGGGCTCTCCCCCACCCCCATTCAAACCTTCTGTTCCTTTTCCCCATAGCCAAGAACACCTCCTGCTAGGGTTAAGATGACAAACTATTTCAAGCTCCAGTGCTAATGGTGGACAATAGCTGAATTCTTTAAAGCTGTCCTGGCCTGATAATATTGACCCAGACTGGTAAAATGCTCCCAGCCTGAGGATTACCCATTACACTCCTTAGTCTGATCCCAGAGCAGAGAGCAGGGAGAGGGAATGGAAGCCTAGCCGAGTACGTCGGGAGCAGGGCCATAGGAAGGATGAGGTGGTAGAGGACCAGTCTGAGGGGTGGGAATGGGAGCTGAGGGGGGAGCTGAGATGTTGGGGGTGAGGCGATGGAATCCTTCCCTGCTGCCAGGCCCCAGCACAGGGCCCTTCCCAACCCTGGCCCAGCTTCCCTCTCCCTATCTGCAATCCTTCTGGGAAAGGCTTGAAAGGCTGGGCTCTTAGGGATGAAGCGAAGGAGGGTGAGTCACTGTTTAGATCATTCCTCTGGGTCAGTCTCCTTCTCTCCTGGGGTGAGGGGAGGCCTCAGCTCAGCCAATCTTCCCAGAAGACAGTGGTTCAGGACAAATGCCATCCATCTGGCAGGGACAGAATGCTGTGCTGCACCCCCATCCTACCCACTGTCCATCCCCTGCCCCCCCAATCCTACCCACTGCCTGTCTCCTGCCTACCCCCTATCATACTCACTGTCTGTCTTCTGCCCCACTATCCTACTTACTGCCTGTCCCCTGCCCCCCCATCCTACCCATTGCCTGTCCCCTGGCAAAGGCATCCACATATCCATTCCACACTGTGCCTCCCCATTGTACCCTGTCCCCTGGGCAAAGGATCTACATTTCCAGACAGGGCCAGAGTGGGAAGGAGAGGTCTTCTTGTTCAGTTATGGGCTTGTACTGTTCTCTGACTTGGGCTACAGTGTGAGCATCCCTTCAACTTCACCCTCAGTTTCCAAAGATTTTTTTTATGTGCCTACTATGCACAGAGCCAGAGTTTTGATGAGTCACATGGGGAGTAGAGAGAATTCCACCCCCACACTTCCCCATCCAGCAAGGTGCCAAATCTGGCCATTTCTCCTCCCCTCCGTCTCTCCACGCCGACCCGTCTGTGCACTTACACAGCCACCATGCTAGCTCAGGCTCTCCTCCCCTCACCCAGACTATCACAGCAGCCTCCTAACTGATCTCCCTGGCTCGTCTCTCCCCACTCCATTCTATCCTCTACATTGCCATCAAATTGTAGTCTGACCATGTCACTCCCCTTCCCAAGAAGTTTCCGGAGCTTCCTATGGTCTCTAGGATCAGCTACAAACTGCTCTGTCATTTATTTGGCTTTAACCCTTCACAATCCCCCCACAGCCTACTTTCCTAGGCTCACTGCACATTACTGCCTTTCATGGGCTCTGTGGTCCAGCCATTGGCCTTCTCGTTATTCCTGGTATAGGATATTCCACCACCCACCTTCGTAGCCTATGCCTAGAATGCCCTCCCACCTTCCCCTTTACCTCTGAGGCTCAGCTTCTATGCTCCTTCCTACAACAGAATGTAAACTCCTTGAACAACAAACGTTTTGCCTTTGTCTTCCTATCTCCTGTGCCTAGAATACACTAAGTGCTTAATAAATGTTTATTAAATAAACAAATCTTAAACGACATGAATGCAGATAATATCCATTATTACAGAGTAAGGCATAAGAATGACACAAAAGGCTATATGAGGTCTGAGGAGGAAGGGGACCATCATTACTAGGGAGGTGTCCAGTTGGGGGATGGGGGAGGCATATGACTTGGATTTTAAAATGTGGGGATTTAAACAGGGAGGAATTCAAGGGGGCCAAAGTGGGCAGGAGGGCCTTACAGGTATAAGGCACAGCAAGAACAAAGGCAGGAGGGTATCATGTCCAAAGGGAACCTAGAAGTCTGCTGGAGCCAGACCAGAAAGCCAGATAAAGGAGTTAGGGCCATAGAGGCAATGGGGAGCCACGACAGGGTTTTGAGCAGGACAATGGCGATCAGATTTCTGCTGAGAGAAGGTTAATTTGGAAGGAGAGAGAGTGTAGGCAGAAGAATCCTCCCAGGTGGGTGGGCCTGAGGTCCTGAACTAGGGAGGGGGACGCAAAAGCAAGAGGAGAGGACAGATTCCGGACAGATAGGTAGCATCTACAGGCCTTGGGAACTGCTTGGCCATGAGGGCTCTGTCTGACTTAACTAGTCCACTGCTAACCCAGGCAGCAGCTTAAGCCCGTTACATCTGCACTGTCTTCCTGTCCCGTGGAGCCTGTGGCAGAGGCTATACTGACCACACCCTCTGCAGGGCCCTGATCCACACCAGCCACTCACCTCCTTGCCTCTCCTTCTTAGGAGGGTGATTTCTCCTCTGACATACAAGGTGAAGTTACCAGCAGCATGGGGCCATAGGAATAGACTGGAGGCTTTGAGTGCGGGGAGCTGGGTTCAGATCCTGCCTCCATCTCAAGAGCGCCTGCTCTCTTATCTTAACACTGCCTCCAGAATTTCACTGCCTCACTTCTGCTTCGCCCATACCTAGAAGGTTCAAGACCAGCTCCTCTGGGAGTTGGGATGGGGTGGTACCTATCTCTGACTGCCTCCACTTAGGTCCTAAAGTCACTCTTACGGAGGTGAGTTCATCTACCAGCTGCCAGAAGGCCCTGAGCCAGACAGTCCACTCTTCTGGGGAAAATGCTCATCAAATCTACCCTTGGGTGTCACGCAGAGCAACAGAACAAACCACAGGCTGCTGGACGCTTTTCTGCAGGCAGGTGGAGGAGTAGAAAGGGCTCTATTCCCTAGAGGGAAAGGACGACCTGTGGGTGAACCATTGTTCGCACCTCTTCATTGGGGCATTTGCCAAAGCTTCTGAAGTGGGGGCCCAGGGTGGAATTATAGAGTAGGAGCTGTCCACAGAAGCCACCAGGATTAACCCAACCTCTTTGGCTAATACCTCCCTTCCCTTTCCCACCCAAATCTCAGCAGTAAGGTGTCTGTGTTAAGAATAAAACAAGGGGGGCACAATTTTGGTTAATTCATTGGTGTGACAAACTCCCAGGTGAGGAAATTCCCTTTACCAACACAGGTCAGCACACTGGGCCAACTAGTTTTGGAGAATTGTCTGGGGGGAGGGTACTAAGAGGTTAAATGACTTGCCCATGGCCATACAGCCAGTATGGATCAGACGTGGGACTGGAGCCCAGAGGTCAGCTTTCTAGCCGTTACTCATATTTGCCCAAACTGCCTTTACGTTTTGGTAAACGTGCAGTATTTGCTAAATGATCACCAGTATGAATAAGCAGCTTTGCCCATGAAGAGCCCATGGCTTTTCTTGCTCTCTGGGCTATCTCCTATAGAAAGGAGATAACTAGCCGCAAAATACAGTTCTATTTCATGTGGTTTGATTGAAAGTTGAGTCATACTTTGCACAAATGTATGGAAATCATGTTTTGTAAACTTAAATCCTATCTTCCCATTGTCTCAAAAGTGTTGTTGTTTCCCCCCAGGATGCTTAATTTATCTTCCTCTTCTGAGGGCTCTTCAGCTACCCTGCTAGCTGTCATTTTCCCAGTTTCTTCTCCCAGCCTGACTGTCAGAAAGTCAATCATCTGCAAACCAACACTTTGCTGCCCTCCGGGAACTGGTGCTTTAAAGGAACCCAGTGGGGAATCTTTTTCTGAAGTAAAGAATCCCATCTGAGTCTCCTTCCTAGTCCAGCCCCCATGCAGCTACCAGAAGCAGCTTGGCAAAACTACATTTGAGAACTTTCCCTCTGGCTCCTTTGTTCCCTATAGGATAAAATACAAACTCAGTGAGGCCTATGAGGCCCTCCCCAATCTGGTTGCCAGCCTCCCGTTCCCTGTTACATATTTCCTTTCCCTTCACACACTCTATCTTGTGGCCAACTGGCCAAGGTATTCGCTGAACTCAGGCACATTCCCCCCCCCTCCCCCAGTGTAGAACTTGGTCGCTGATGAACTCTACTAATCTAGAACTTGACCTTTGTTTAAGACTCGGCCCAGATGCCACCTCCTACCACCCGCCTTACCTGTGCACTCCCCCTTTCCCCATCCCAGTTACTGCTATTCCGGCCCTCCTTGTATTACCCTGTCTGTACTTGTATACTTCATACTTGTATACTCCAGAAGAGTACACATCCCTTGCAGGTAATGACCATTTTGCTTTTTGTCTTTGTCTCTCCAGTGGCCTAGCACAGTGCCTTCTGCATAGTAAGGGCTCGAACTGGATTAAATTCAATTAAAAAGTGAAGAATCTGCTATGAATCTCTTCTGTGAATTCAGATTTTCTTTAAGAAAGAAGCCTAGGTGTACCATGGGGTTAAGGCACATTAGAGGGTATGGTAGAACAAAATAATTTGAAGCTAGAAGACCCACCACTCTGCCATTTACTCTCTATGTGACCTTGGGCAAATCACTTCTTGGCCTCAGTTTCTTCCTCTGTAAAATGAGGGGGTTGGGCTCAATGACCTTGAAGTTTCCTTCAGATTCTTTATACACGATCCTATGACCTGGGTTTGGATTCAGGTTTTGTTACTGACTCGCTTGTGTGACCAGTGTGGAACAATGGAAAGAGTACTGGATTTGGAGTCAAAGGTTCAAATCCTGGCTCAGCCACTCGCCACTTCTGGGGCTTCTGGCAAGTCCCTTCCCCTCCCTGGGCCTCAGTTTCCTCTTCTGTAAATGAGAGGATCAAGCTTGCTGACTTCTGAGGTCCCTCAAGCTCTAGACCTAGGATCCTATGTATGACCTTGGACAAGTCCCTTCCCCTCACTGGGCCTCACTTTCCTCCTAGGGTTGGCCTAGATGCCCTCAAAAGCCCCTTCTAGGCTCCAGAGATAAGATCCTCTGAACTCTCTTCTCCTCTCTGGGCCTGTTTCCTCCTCTCTTAAATGGAGTGATTGAACTAAGAAAACTTGTGGGTCCACTCCAGCTTTAGCTACCAAGATTCTGACTACACTCCTTGGTCATCCCAAACTTCTTCATGACCAAAAGTTTTCCCAGCCCCAGCTGACAGCCTGACAGCCCCATCATTTGTACCACTATTTCCTTGGAGGAACTCCAGTGGGGTGGGCTTGGCCCCAAGGCCCTTTCCAGGGGGGGCTCCCAAGTCGTGCTGTGAGAGGCATTGGAGTCATCTATCCCAGGGTCACAAATCGGCAGGGGTGCAAAGACACAAAGCAAAGCAGATAATTCCCACTTACTCCAGCTCTTGCCTGACCGGCCTAAAAACTCCCTCTTCTCAGGGTCCCACACGTAATTTTTCACTTGCTGCATTTTGGCTGCCAGACTCCGTTGCTCAGTGGCCTGGGCCTCGTCCTCGTCCGGGTCCTCTGAGTGAAGCTGGTTCCCTTCATTCTCATTCTCCTGGAACCAAGACAAAATACAACCCCCTTTTTTGGAAAAAGAAAAAAAAAACTTTCCAACAGCCCATCCCACTGGCCAAAAATAAATGGAAAACCACTCAAGAGCTGGCTGCATTTCAAAGTTCCATTTTCCCATAATCCAACCCTTTGTTACCAAAGGCAGGATTTCTCTCTTTTTGGGGTTGTTTTTTTGGAGGAGGGGAGTAAGATACTATCCCCTCTGACTTAAATTCAGGAATCTTTTCATTGAGGGGCCAGCTCTGTTCTCAATCTCATCAATTTCTACCCTACTCCCAGGCCTGCTTATGTCAACATTCATTCCTGCCACCCTTGGTTCTCCTTAACTCTGAGTGGCTAGGGTCTCAAGGATTAGACTACAGAATGAGCCAGCCTCAGGTAGGCCTTGAGAGGGGAAGATTCTTAAGGTAGGATGGGGTTCTGTCAGAGGAAGTGAGGAGAACCACACAATCTTTTCAGTATAGCCCTATATATTGTTGAAGTATACCCCCCACTTCTCAATTTCCCTCATCTTTAGTGCACCTGAAATACTTTTTTAGTTAAAATGTATTTGATGACCAAAAATCTATTTTCTCTCCCTCCCACTTACCTTTCCTCCATTGGAAAAAAGAAAAGAAAAATGAAAGTCCTATTACAAATATGTATAATCGAGCAAAACAAGTTGCCACATTCTGTACCCTCTGTCCATCACTGCACTCTCAGGAAATGGGTAACATGCTTCATCCTGGGCCTTCTGGGATTGTGGTTGGTCATTGTGATGATCAGCGTTCTGAAGTCTTTCTTTGCTTTCTTTCTTTTTTTTTTTTTTTTGGCTAGGCAATGGGGTTAAGTGACTTGCCCAGGGTCACACAGCAAGTAAGTGTTATATGTCTGAGGCCAGATTTGAACTCAGGTCCTTCTGAATCCAGGGCCAGTGCTCTATCCATTGCGCCACCTAGCTGCCCCTCTCAAGTCTTTCAAAGTTGATTGTCTTTCTAATATTATTATTGTATAAATTGTTCTCATGGCTCTGTTCACTTCACTCTGCATCAGTTCATTCAAGTCTTCCTGGGATTCTCTAAAACAGTTCCTTTCGTAATTTGTAACATTCCCATTACATTCACATACCATAATTTGTTCAGCCATTCCGCAAATTGGGCACCCCTTTAGTTTCCAGTTTTGCCACAAAAAAAGAACTGCTACAAATATTTTTGTACATGTGGGTCCTTTTCTTCTTTCTTTGATCTTTTTGGAGATATATGCCCAATAGTGCTATCACTGGGGCAAGTTTCATTGGGTCACTTTTTTGTTGCCTGAAGTTTCACTGTTGGAGATTCACTCCTTTGGGAAGCCTTTGTTGTTCAGTCATTTTTCAGCTGTGTCTGACTTTTGGTGACCCTGTTTGGGGTTTTCTTGGCAGAGATACCAGAGTGGTTTGCCATTTCCTTCTCTGGCTCATTTTACAGATGAAGAAACTGAGGCAGAGTGAAGTGACTTGCCCAGGGTCACACAGCCAGTGTCTGAGGCCAGATTTGAACTTAGGAAGATGTGGCATAGTGCATAGAATACTGGGCCTGGAGTCAGGAAGACCTGAGTTCAAATGGGCAAGTCACTGCACCTGTTTGCCTCAGTTTCCTCATCTGTAAAATGAGCCAGAGAAGGAAATGGCAAAGCCCTCCAGTATCTCTGCCAAGAAAACCCTAAAAGGGTCCAAGAGGGTCACAAAGAGTCAGACACAACTGAAATGACTGAACAACAATAAACCGATGACTGTTGTGTGCCTATTGGAAGGATGGCAAAGACAGTAAGCTTTCCTTAGGCTCTTCAGTTAGCTCGTAAGAGACAATGTCTACCACAGGAGACAGCATGGCCTGGTGTACTAACTGGGAGGTGGGAAGACAGCTTTGAGTCTCAATTCTGCCTCTAACCTGCTACAGAGCACTTGGTAAATCCCTTTACCAACCTGGGCTTCAGATACCTACCTTCTCGAGAGAATTTGTCTCTGGGGTTCCTTATACCTCTAGAATTCTATGATCCCTGTTCTAGACCTCCCTAGTCTGAAAATGGTCAGAAATAATTAGGATCCCAGATCTAGAGCCTAAAAAGAGCCTCGGAGGCCGAGATCTAGTCCAACTCCCTCATTTTACAAAGGGGGAAACTGAGGCTTAAAGAAGAGAAGTGAGCTCCCCAAGGTCACACAGTTACCTAAGATCATTGACATAGATAGAATTGGAAGGGACCTAAGGAATCATCTAGTCTAACCCATTCATTTTATAGCTGAGGAAACTGAGTCCCGAAGAGGTGAAGGGATCTGCTCAGAGACATGCTCAGCTTTGAATTACTGACTTTTGCAAGATTTCAGAGAAGGGTTGGAACAGTCAAGAAAGACTTTGTGGAGGGGAAGGGGTGGGGGGAGGGGTCTCGAGCCAGGCCTGGAAAGATGAGTAGGCTCAGTGTAGGTTTCCCAAAGCCAAGTTAAAATGGTTTTTTGGATAATCCACTGTTTAGAGACCACTGTTCTGGATTCCTACCAGGGCAGTTAAGCAAGAGCTGACCCTGCTGACTAAAGCAATAAAGGAAAACCCAGCCTGGTTCCTTGGCCTACCTAAAGAGATCAGAGTCAGATGACTAGAATGGTCTCCAACTCAGCATGTTTACAGCAAGCTTCTCTTCCTTAGCCCTAAACTGGCTCTCCTTCCTCTTTCTGATTAGCTCCTGCCCCCACACTAGCCTCCCAGGCCACCCAGGCTCCATCTGACACTTAAGCTTGACCCTTCTCACTACCAAGTCCTTTTCAATGGAGCATTTAATGGAAACTTACCCCCACATCCAACAGTTGCCAAGTCCTGTACATTCCATGTTATTTCCTGTATCTGTCCCCTTTTCTCCACTAACACTCTGGTCCAGGCCCACACTACCTCTTGCCTGGAGCATCCATAGTGAGTACCTAACTGGCCTCTCTTCCTCTGTTTTTCTCCTTTCCATTTTTTCCCACGCCAAACTGCCAAATCAATCTTCCAAAGACACAGGTTTGATCATATTGCCCACACTCAGAAAACCTTGCCTGTGTGACCCAGGACAAGTCACTTCATATCATCAGCCTTCAGGGCCACCCCCCCCACCCCCCCCACACCCCGTAAAATGAGAGGCTTGGATTCAAGGACCTCTACTCTAGACTCATTATCCTATTGAGACCTTAAACAAATCATTTCCATTCTTTGGCCCTTGGTTTCCTCTACCAGAAAATGAGAGAGCCAGGTTCGATGGCCTCTGAGGACCCTTGTAGCTCAAGATCTGGGACTAGGTGACCTTGATATTTCCTTCTAGCTCTAAATTATAATCCGTTGACACTTTCAGCTCTGAGTCTTATTCTGACATAATTCAGAGCATCTAGGTGGTGCTGCAGTGGATAGAGCTACAGGTTGGAGGCAGGAAGACCAGAATTCAAATCTGGTCTTAGATACCTACTAGCTGTGTGACCCTGGACAAGTCACTCCACCCTGTTTGCCTCAGTTTCCTCATCTGTAAAATGAGCTGGAGAAGGAAACGGCAAACTACTCCAGTATCTTTGCCAAGAAAACTCCGAATGGGTCCACAAACAGTTGGACATGACTGAACAACATCAAACTCTGATAGAATTGGTTTCCTTTGTAATAAATCTTTTGTATTTTATTTTATGGACTTAAAAATGTGATTCGGAGAAGGAATGGTCCACGGGCTTCTCCTGACTTGCCCAGGGGTTCCAGGACACCCACAAAGATGAGTAGGCTCTCACAAAGATTAAAGGTTTAAACCACAAAGGTTAAGAACTCCTAGCCTAAAGTCAAATCTCCTGATCCTGACATTCAAGGCTCTCCATTAGCTGACCCTAAACCTACCCTTTGGGTGTTCTTATCTCCCATTATTCACCAAAACAACCCTCCTCTCTGACTAGACCAGGTATTCAGCATCCCCTCAAGATGCTTTCCAATCTGGAATGCCCTCCCCTATCTTCCTTGCCCAAATCCAGCCTCAATTCCAAGGCCCAGCTAGGGACCTACCTCTTCCACTAAGCCTTCCAGCTGCCCTGGCCTCCCATGGAATGCTTTAGTCCTCTCCTGATCTCCTCTGCCCCATCTCCTTGCTTTGAGGGATGGGCACATGCACAATTCTGGGCCTCCTCAATGTACACTATAAGTATGGACCATGTGCACATGGAATTGGCTTTGTCTCTCCAGCTAGACTGCAAGCAAAGAGAGGGCAGAGCTTGGCTAAGATGATGTCTGTCTGTGGCTCTGACTCTCCCACGGGTCTGGCAAATAGAAGCACTCAATTATTCTCCTTGATTGAAGGAATATAGTTCTCTCACTCACTGAGACACTAGCAGTGATGATAATAATGAAGATAATAATGATAATAACCCAGCCACCAGGCCCAGGGGCATTGGGACCCTCCTCAGGTCCATCTGGCTTGTGGCTTGCTCTTTGCTCCCTGGGGACCTGCCAAGACTCCTTGCTTCAGCAGCATACAAGGTTGGACTCCCTTCACCCTGCCTGCTGGCTGAGTCTCAACAGCAACTGCATTGTTGTACTGGTCAGCTACCGGCACTGCAACAGTGCCTGGAGGAACAGAGGGAATCCTGAGCCAGCAGCAAGGCCTCTTGGGTCAGGAGGACCCTTGGCTGAGGAGGTGGGGGGGGGGAGGATGCGTAGATGGGTTGGGTGGGTGGGGGAAGCTTAGCTCTGAAATCTGACTCTGGGGAGTGGGGAGCTTCGGGGATCCATGGCTCTGAAGCAACCACCAAAAAGCAAAAAGTCAGGAAGGCCTCTTAAGGGCCACTGCAGTGATGGGCTGCCCTCGAGATACCACTCTCTAGATGCTAGCCTGGCTTAGACTATGCTCTGACAGGTTTACATGGATACATCTTCCTCCTTCCCACCCTTTTCCTTCCTTTCTTCTCTTACAGCTTCCACCCTCTCTTTCACTCTTTCCCTCCTTCCCTTCCTTCCTCACTTCCTTCCTCCCTCCCTTCTTTTCTTCATCCACCTCTCCCTTCCCTCCTTCCTTTCCTTCCTTCCTTATTTTCCCTCCCTTCCTCTCCTTCCCTTTCTCCCTTCCCTCCCTCATTCTCTTCCTTCCTTCCTCCCTCCCTCTCTCTTCCTCCATTCTTTCCTTCCTTTTCTCTATTTCCCCCTCTCCTTTCCTTCCTCTCCTTCCCTCTCTTCCTCCCTCTCTTCTTTCCTTCCTCTATATCTCTCTCTTCCTTCCTTCTTTCCTTCCCTCCTTCTTCCTCCCTTCCTCTCCTTCCCTCCCTTCCTTCCCTCCCTCTCTCATTTTCTTCCTTCTTTCCTTCCTTCCTTCCTTCCTTCCTTCCTTCCTTCCTTCCTTCCTTTCTTCCTTCATCTCCCTTCCTTCCTCTCCTTCTCTCTCTTCCTCTCCTTCCTTCTCTCCCTCCCTCCCTCCCTTCTTTCCTTCCTTCCTTCAGAAATGTTTACTTAGCACCTCCTGTGTCAGAGGACATCTGCTCTGAGGGCAGGAGCTCCCACACTGATGAGCTCAGGAATCTTCTGGATTATTGGAAGGTCTACAAGGCCTGTTCTTAGAGCTCCTCACCCCTAATCTTTGCATAGGCTGAGACTTTCACTGGCCCCTTTATCTTCAGGCCAGCTTCCTTTTCTCTGGTCCTTGCCCACTCTGGTCACCTCCACTCCCCTCTACGTTTCCTTGGTTAGGCCCATTGTTTCCTTGCCCCATACCCATCTTCTCTTCAGATTGGGAGCTGTGTGTTGGGGGGGGGGGACAGTCCTATTCCCAATGGTGAGCAGCTTACTCTCATGGAAAATTGGTGACTCTCAGAGCTAGTTACCACTGATTCCAGATTCCAGTAGATGCAATCCTGCCAGGAGGGTACAGGATAGACTTAAGGGTCAGGTGGACTCAAGGCTGGACTCTGCTACTTGTCAGCCATGTGACCTTAGAGAAATCCTTTTCTGGGGCCTCAGTTTCCTCACCTGCCAAATGTCTCTATGATACCTACACTGCCCACCTCAGAGGACTAGAAGAATGAATGGAAAGTGTGACCCAAATATTAAGGGGGTAGCAAGCCTGTTGGGCTCTCTCTAGCTTGCAGGTAGAGGGGAACCTCACCCAAAAGGTCAGACTGTTTCATATTTATTAGAGGAGCTGCTTGAAAACTCAGCAATCTCTGGGTAAGTGACTCTATAGTTGCTGACAGTGTAGTGAACTGTGTCCCATGTGGCTATGGGGCTGGAATAGGAGGTGTCTGATGCCTCCTTGTGACATGAAGGGCCCCCTGAGTTCTTTCAGGCTCTATCAGCCCCAGCCCTGGGGGGTTCTGCCAAGCTTGAAAGGGCCCTGCTAAGGAATTGTGGGACCGTTGTGAATGAATGAATGAAGGGAGGAAGGAAGGAAGGAATGAAAAAGCATTTGCTAAGCACTTGTTATGTGTCACACATTATGCTAAGCACTGGGGTTACAAACACAAGGAAGTAAGGCAGTTGTGACCCTCAAATGCTTGCATTCTAATAGGGGAAAACAACCTGTACAAGAGTGATGGCTGGTCAAAGAGAAAAGTAGTTGGAGTTATAAGGCAAATGATCTTGTTCAAAGATCTTCATGTAGCACAGGGTCTAGAACATAGTAGGTGCTTAATAAATGTTTGTTGATTGACTGATTGATCGAATCGCTTACTTAAGAAGAGTTGGCACCTCCCTTCTGCTTTCCTACAAAACTGTCCAGGAAGGCCTAATTAAAGGAGGGTTGACTCTCTGTGCTACTGGAGGGAGTCCCCAGCTAATGAACTTGTGGGTCCTTCCAAATTAAAGTGAATGTCATAGGGGTAATCTCACCACTCTTGCCTGTAGTGCCTAGAAGGTAGGAGTCCACTTCACACCTAGAAGGGCCTATGCTTAAGAAAACCCAGCCTACAAAAACATTGATTTCCTCAAGTGCTAAGTTAGTCCTAGGCAATAGACAAGGCCCAGAAATACTTGTCAATGGACTGCTAAGGATGAAGTAGGGAGCGTTTACATACTTTATGGAAGAATATTTTGTTTAATAGAACCATTTTCCACAGGTCTCCTTTAAAGAGCAAATTCTCCAGTGCCCGTGAAAGAGTATTCGATTCTTAGCATGACTCTTCTGAACATGCTGGATGTGTAAACTGAGGCACACTGTCAGGTTTTGCACGATGCTGTGCTCTAGAATTTATGACCATGAGGTGTGAGGGGGTGTTGGGGTAGGAGGAATGAATTCCCTGGATGGGAAGCCTTTCACAGATTCTACATGGAGATTAGGGAATTGGAGTCTCTTTTCCCTGTTCCCAGGATTGCCCTGCTTAGATGTTGGTGCTAAATTTTCCTTTAATCCTCAGGCCAGAGTAGATTGAAAAAGCCACTCCATCTCCTGACTCTAGACATTTTCATCTGCTATCCTCCTTGCCTGGGACATTCTTCCACCTCATCTCCTCCTGGTTTCTTTCAAGTCCCAGCTAAAATCCCACCTTCTATAGGAAGCCTTTCCCATCTCCTCTTAATTCCACTGCCTTCTCTCTGTCAATTATCTCCTATTTATCCTGCATATATTTCGTACATAGTTATTTTCATCCTATTAGACAGTGAGTTTCTTGACAGCAGGGACTGGACTGTCTTTTGCCTCTTTTTTGTATCTTGAGTGCTTAGCATAGTGCCTGACAGATAGTAGGCACTTAAGTATTTATTAATTGACTTATCAAAGAAAAGTTGCCAGGGCACCCTTTTCTCTAGCCCATCAATGTCCTTCTTAAACATCAATGCCCAGGACTAAATACAACTCTTCAGATGGAGTCTGACGAGGGCAAAGTGCAAAAGTGCAAAAGGACTAGCACCTCCTCTGTACCAGATACTATGCCTCTGAATGCAACCTAAGATTACGTTAGTTTTCCTGGCTGTCACATCATACTTTTGGCTCATATGGAGTTTGCAGTCCACTAAGATCCCCTCGATCGTTTTCAGATGAACTGCTTTCCAGCCACACCTCCCCCATCCTGTACTTGGGAAGTTGATTTTTTAACCCAAATTTAAAACTTTACATTTATCTCTAGTGAATTTCATCATACTAGACCCATCCCAACATTCCAACCAGTCAAGATTTTGGTGGATACTGACACTGTCATCCAGAATAGTAATTATCTCTCCTAACTTTGTGTCATTTGAAAATGTAATTGATTAAAAAAAATATTCAACAGCCCAGGACCTGTAACCATGCCTAGGCCAATTGACTCATGGGCTCATATAATGTCAAAGCTAACCCAAGAGGCCACCTTGTTTCCTTCTCTTCTTCCTCCCCCTCCCCAAATCCCTTACAATCTGAATGGGGAGCCTACCCTCAACTGTAGGAGCATACATTTTGATTCTAGAACCTCAAGCAAAAACATCAGAAGTGCCATTTGAACCTCTCCAGATCTACAGAGAACTATCCAAAATGTGTCCAACACACTCCAGTTTGATTTTCTGGCAAATATTTTAACTAGGGGGAGAGTATGGTAGGAATATTGATTAAGGAATCTCTGATCAGTTGAGTCCCTTCAATCCACGGAATGAAATTACAGAGTGTGGACCTTTGTCATGAGGGAGCACTTTCCATGGAGCTGAACATACACATTGACCCCTTTTAACACTTTTTTATTGTTAGTTTTGAAATAGGGAGGGCAGAAGGTGGGGAAAAGGGGTCCCTCCATGAGTGGGCCCCAGGTAAATGCAGAGTTTGCTCACCCTTTTTTTTTCCTGTAGCCCAAAATTCAGGTGATCTGACTATCCTTTGGTTTAACTTCTCCCCAGCCTAAGAAGGAACTAATTACCAGCCCTACCCCTACCAACCTCAAAATCAGCAGCGAGGCCCCTAGGTGATCATTTTTGGGCCGGTGAGAGGGTCAAAGGCCCTAGCTTGATCACTACTGATCATGAAATCAGATTGCCACCACCCCAGCCCTAAAGACCCACTTCCCACCAGTTCCACCATGACATCAATCCCGCCTCTCCCTGAGACTCACTGGCTTGCTGGACAGATTCAGGGAAAAATCCTCAGCCCCTGCAGACTTGGAATTCCTTTCCATGGCGTGGTGGGGGAGAGTGGGAATGACCTGGAGGGTGAGCCGGTGGAAGGCGAAGTGGTGACTGGCAGCACTGGCTGCTGCAGACACTGGGCACCCCATGGCACTGAGCCCTCTTGGCAAGAGTCCTCCCCAGAAATAAGCTGACATTTCCCTTGCTACCTGACTGATTGGCCCCCCTCTCTGCTTGAGGGAAAGCCTTTAGGAGAAAAGCAAGCTCATCACTTATAAAGAGGCAGGGAAATTCCAAGCAGCAGGAATGAGAGGAGCCCCCCCCCCAATTCCTGCCTCCTGGAATCCAGTGGACCCAATGGGGATCTTTAGATTTTGCATATCTTGAGAAAGAATTGGATATTAATAGGGAGAGGGTTAAGAGCTGGGACAGAGGTTGGGGGTGGGGTGGGGGATGGCTAAGAATAACTTGCTTTGCTCATAAGGCTGATATCATCTATCAGGATAGATTATCTTTGGCCCCCAAGCAAGTGCTTTGCTCAGCTCTAATGTCCCATCTCTGTGACAGCCACGGCCCCCTTCTAATGGGGATTTGAGGCCCCCCTCCCCATGCAGCCCACAAGAAGGTGTTTGAATATGTATTTGTTGAATGAATGGATGGCTGAAGGAGAATATTTGTGGAATGAGTAAGAAGGAGCCTGGGGGCTGCATGTCAGCCTGCCCCCATCAGTCACCCCCTCCTCCTCTTCCCCCACCACCCCCCGGAATCCTGGCCAAATCTCTGGAGCGGCTGCAGAGTCTATATTTATCGCTTTAGTATTGAGGCAGAGAACAAGCTGGGACTTCAGTGTCACTTTCCCAGACATATATATCTCCCCAAGCCTGTGTGGGATCCAGCGAGAGAAAAATCGGGAGAAAGGGCCAAGAACATCAGACAGTGTTGCTGGCCCGCTGGGGACCCATTTCCCAGAGGTCTGTGGTGAGTGCAGCACGTGACCCGGTTGCCAGGTGGCTGCAAATGCCTTGCAAACTGGGATTCCAGTCACGTTAGGGCTGAAGAGGAACAGTCTAGCTGCTTAGCTTGATTTGTCTGCTGTGAACCTGATCCAGGCTGTTCAAATGAGAACAGCCCCCGATCGGAGCTTTAAGACCTCCAAATCCAACCCCCTTATTTGACAGAGGCCCAGGGAGAGCTCATAGCTTGCTCAAGGTCACACCAAGGCTCCGAAATCTGGAGCTGGAAGGGAGTACAGAGGCCAGCTAGGCCAGCCCCTTCCTTTTACAAAGGAGGGAAACTGAGGCCCAGGGAGGGGAAGGGACCTGCCCAAGATCATTCAGGTCATGTCAGAGGCAGGATTTGAATCCAGGCATTCCAGTTCCAGAGCCCTATGATATACTACATGGTCAGGTAAAATCCTGATAATTTCAGCCCTTAGTTAACTAAAATTCTCCCAGGTTTCAATGAATTTGAGTCCTGAGAAATTGAAATAAATCTCATCCTTCTACTCCTGTCAGTGACTGTTTCCAAAAGGAAATAAACTCCAAGGGCCAGCCTGGGCTAAGGCTATATTTGTCTCAGTTTCCTATACCTCTATCTTCATCTTCATCTCCATCTCCATTTCCAGCCCCAGGTAGTGGTCGCTAATGATGATAATAATAAAAGCTCTCATTTCCATATAGATTTAAAATCCACAAAGCACTTTCTTCAAAATAACCTAGTCAGGCAGTTAGCAATGCATATTGCTGGGGGGTATTGTTATTCCTGTTTGAGAGGTAGGAAAACTACTGGTCAGAGGTGGCACCGAATTTCTTACATCTCACAGTTAGGACATATCAGAGCCAGGACGCCAGTGAAGGTCTTTGGACTGTGAATGCAGTGTTCTTTGCACTAGATGGACTGCCTGTCTCCATGGGGTTCCCCCCAGACCCTGCAAGACCGTTAATCAGAAAAGATTCAGCTATAGTCCTGAGATGCTGTTCACTGAGGTAGAAGTAACCCTCTCTTCCTTCTGAATCCCCCACTCTGAGCAATCAATCAGTCAATCAACAAACATTTATTAAGCACCTACCATGTGCTTAGCACTGTGCTGCTAAGGATGCAAAAAGAGGCAAAAGACAATCTCTGCCCTCAAGAAGTTTACAATCTAATGGGAGAGACAATATGCAAATAAATATATACAAAACAAATGACATACAGGATAAATAGAAAATAATTAAGAGGGGGAAGGCACTAAAATTAAGAGGGGTTGGAGAAGCCTTCCATTAGATGATGGAATTTTAGTTGAGATTTAAAGGAAGCCGGGAAAGTCAGTAAACAGAGTGGAGGAGAGTGTTCCAGTCATGGGAGACAGCCAGAGAAAATGCCTAGAGCAGAGAGCAAGCTAAACTACGGATATAAAAACAAAGCCCCTGTCCTCAAGTAGCTTACATTCTAATGGGGGAGACAACATCTGGGGGAGTGGTAGCCATGGAAGGGTATTTTGGTTTGAAAAGTTGCAGAGATGGTGAGTAGAATCACAGGGAAGCAGACTGACATGCTTTTCTGAGTAGCAATGGAGGTATTGAGGTGATTATAACTCTCAAAAGCCTCAAGGTGGCAAGACCTGTTCTCTGAAACCTTCTGGCTGTGTGGCTCTAGATAAGTCACTTCTCTTCTTGTGGTCTAGGCCAAAGGTGTCAAACACATAGCTCACAGACCTGATGTGAGCCCATGACACTTCTGAGTACAGCTAAACCAATGAAAATGTAATTGGGAAATATTTAACAAAATAAATAAAAATAAAATAGGACATTTGTTATTCAGTCATTTCAGTGGTGTCTGACTGTTTGTGACCCCATTTGGGATTTTCTTGGCAGAGATACTGGAGTGATTTGCCATTCCCTTCTCCAGCTCATTTTACAGATGAGGAAACTGAGGCAGACAAGGTTAAGTGACCTGCCCAGGGTTACACAGTTAGTGAGTGTCTGAGGCTATAGATAATGTTAATATGAAATTTTCGAAGTCTTTATGGATTAGTGACCCTCATTTCTATTTGAATTTGACACCACTGATCTGGGCAATTCTCTAAGGCTCAAAGTTGCTTGAGAAGGTGCAGACTGCATTAATAGAGGGTTCCCTATACTGATGAAACCAAAGGCCCAGGCCCTCTCCAGGTCCAGAACTAGAAAGTGTAGTGGGAAGGACTGGGCAGGGGTTCAGAAGAGGGACAGCTGTTGAGAAGAGGACTGGGTAGCAATGTTGAGCAGCTAGCTGCCGCTACAGTGAATGTATACACACACACAGATATATATAGGTGTACACATATGTTATGTACATACATAATCACCCACTGATTAGGAGAGTGGGCTCAGCACAGTAGACCCAGAGCTGGGCCTAGAGCCGAAGCCAAGCAGAGCAGGCTGGCAATATTCCTTTAATGACCCCAAACAACCCCTAGAAATGAAGACCTATCTCTTGAATATCAGTATTCTACTGCTGTTTTTATATGGTTGTAAGATACGGAACAGAACAATCTCCAAAGAATTGAAAATGAGCATCACTCGGAGGGCAAGAGAGGCCCAGGGTGCCTGTGAGCAGGCTGTGGCACATTATAAATAAGGAACTTCAAAGAAGAACTAGAGAAAAGAATGTTATCAGAGGAATGTCTGATTGAAAAAGATGGGCCGATCATGTGGAGAGAGCCGGCAGTGAATGGTAACTAGAGTGTCCAATTGGTATTCTTGAAATGTCAGGAAAAAGGAAGAAAGGCCTCTCATTGGCCAGGCCAGTCAGCAAGTATTTATTAGACCCTTGCTGTGTGCCAGACACTGTGCTAAGAGCCCCAGGGATATGAAGAAAGGTGAAAACCCACTGCCTGCTCCCCAGAAGCTCATATTCAGAGGGAGATAACACGAAACCAGTACACGCATACAAGACACAGGCTGGATAAATGGAAGTTAATCTCTAAGGGAGGAGGTTGGCAGTGGGCAGGAGTAGGGAGGGCCCCTTATGGAAGGTAGGATTTCAGCTGAGTTTCAGAAGAGGTCAGGGAAGGCAGGAGGTGAAAATGAGGAGGGAAGACATTCCAGGCACGGGGAATAGGCAGTGAAAATGCCCAGAGTTGAGAGATAGGGTGCTGTGTGTGAGGAATAGCATAAGAAGGTGAGGGGAGTACACGGAGGGGAATAAGGCACAAGTAGTCTGGAAAGAGAGGAGGGCTTGCAAAGCCAAACAGAGGATTTTAAATTTGGACCTGGAGGTAATAGGGAACCAGTGAAGGTTATTGAGGAGGAGGGTGACAGGGTCAGACCTTCGATTTATGAAAAGCACCTTGGCAGCTGAGTTTAGTCTGGATTGGAGTAGGGAGTGAGGCAGGGAGAGTAACCAGAAGATTGGCAGTAGTCCAGTGGGAAGGTGATGAGGATCTGCACCAAGGTGGTATCTGTGTGAATGGAAGAAAAAATCTGTGAAGTTTGAATTCAGTGAAAGGGCTGCACCACTTGAGGACCTAGAGAGCCGCATATGGCCTCAAGGCTGAAGGTTCCCCATACCAAACTAGTCCAGCCCCTTCCTTTCACAAAGGGGGAAACTGAGGCCCCAGGACATGAAGTGACTCAAAATAATTTTGAGTTGGAAGGAATCCCACAGTTCTAATCCAACCCCCTCATTACAGAAGCAGAAACTGAGGCCCAGAGAGGTAATTAACTGGCAGAATCCCTAGAATCCAAGCTGAGACTCGAAGCCAGGTCCTCTTTCCTCAGTTCACATGCCAAAGGAGATGTGAGAAGAGGCACATCACTTGGGGCCAAGGGCATCAAAGAAGGAAGGCCTCCCGGAAGCAAGCAGGAGGCCCTTGACTTGGGTGGTCCTTGAGGAGAAGGGAGGCAGGGGAGCTGAGCTGTGGGAGCAGGAAGGCAGCTGCCAGTAAACGGCCCACAGAAGGCGGCCCGTCTTCCAGGATGCTGCATGTCCAAGGAAAGAGAGCCGGGACACCTGGCCTGCTATTTGCTCTAGGCTTAGATTCTGGGCCAGCATACTGCAAGGCCATGGCTGTATGTCTTTGAGGGAAGAGGAGACCTCAGGTAAGAGCTCTTCATGCCAGACTTTGAGCCCTAGTTCTTGTTTTAATTTTTTCCTTAAATGTCGGTCTCCAGGCTAGAGAAGGAATGATATTGGCCCTGGAGTCGACCAGGGGAAATTGGAAGGGGTGTGGAGGGACCAGCTCTCTTGGAAGCCGCCCAGTTGGGTTAGATGGAATTCTTTGACACCTG